ATGGTTTTGGTCGGCCGCCAATGCCCTGGCTCGTCTTCTCTGTGGATTCACGTTTTGGAAGCAAATCGTTGGTCTTCGTCAGATTCTTCATCGCTGCGGGGTCGAAAGGCGCATCAAGTTCTGACTTGTCTCTGCCTGCTGCCGAACTTGATCTTCCTGTCCGTGCTGCAAATAATGAAGGTGCCCAATCGCCGGGATAGGCCGGGCCCTCCTGGGGCTCTGCAGACCCCGTGGCAATCGGTTGCTTGGGCTGAGGTGTCGAGCTACCTCCGAAGCGGGTAGCTCTCCTTTTGACATTGCCTGAGCGTTTCCTCGCGGGGCCGCAATCGCTCTCCATGTCGCTGTCGTGGGGCTCGTCTAGGTCCACCTCTTGGCCTGGGCGTGGCGTCTTTGCAGGAGCCGCGTCTGTCTCGTCGGTCTCCTGGGCCCCGCGGGCGCGCCCGCCTATTTCCTCGTCGGGGTCGCCTTCGCCCTGGGCGTGTCCGCCCGGTGGTTCGGCGGGCGAGGTGGGCGCGAGTGGCCGATCCCTCTGATCTCCTTCTTCTTCGATCTTCTCGTCCGCCGCCTGGGTGGGCACAAGTGGAGACGCGGGGGGCTCGGCCCTGGGGGCTTCCCGCGAAATGTCCCGTCGCATTCAGCTCGCGCCGACGGTGGGTGCTTCGATCCCTGTCCACGCTCGCCTCGACAGGACCTGTGCCCAGCCGCTGCTTGTGCCAGTCTTGGTGATATATCTTGACAAGGTGATCGTCGTCCAAAGTCTTCCCAAGCACCGTCCGTATCTTGGACTTCAGTGCCAGTCATTGGAATATAGTCCTCAATGGGCGTGGCCGTCCCTCCGCCTATGCCGTCGCCATGGTCAGGATGCCAGGTCGCCCCGCCATGATATGTGAGCTGCGAGATGGGCGGTCCACTGGGCAGTTCGGCGATGCTGACTGCGAGCCAGGCGCGAGCGCATCCGGTCGCCCCTGCGAGCTTGGATGTCTCGCTTGCGTGCCCGCCTCGCATCGCTTCCTTCGCCGCGACGATGCGATGCTTTGATGGCATTGCCCCTGTCATCACGAGAAACATGCTTCAGAGACCTCCGGTGGCGAATCTGTGATTATGCGTAGCCCTGTTCGAACAAATAATTCACGTCGGCTTATCTGATCTCCGCGCGCGGGCCTTGTTCGTCGTGAGAGAGAGAGGTATATCCCTTGCCAGAGGACAAGCGGTCCTCTCCCCGGCCCGCAGGAGCTCGCACCGCACGTGGGCTCGGCAGACTGAGCATAGCCTGCGCCCTTGGAAGGGCCAGCCCCGCGAGAGTGACTGCGACCTCGACAGGGGCCGCCCGTGTCTGGGTTATACGTGCCAGATTTCCTTGGCGCGCCTGCTGTGGCGTGGGCCGCTGTGCTGCGGCCGCGGCGACTGCCTCCTTTGTCGCCTTCATTGGGGCCGCCCGAGCCAACTTGAGCCTTTCCAGACTTTCCCCGCGTCGTGAACGCGTTGGCGCGAGTCTGTCCCCATCCCGCAGCAGCCCGCTCTTCGTCTGTGAGTCCAAAAGCCGTTGGAGTCGGGAGCGCGTGGAGCCCCGCCTGCTCGGGCCCGAGCTGTTTCATTATTTCAGCGTCGGTGGCATGTGCAGTCTCCGCGTCAGACATGCAATCGTCGTCATCGTCGTCGTCGTCTGAGTCTTACCGCGCGCGTCCGTGCCAACGCATGCTGATCCAGACCTCGATGGGCGCGTCGCGCAGCTCCTCGACCCCGTCGTGCAGGCACTCGGCGCAACGTTCCACCGACGTGGCAGCGTCGGCGAAGTGGGCCATCAGAAACCAAGCAGAACTTGATTGGGAGTAAAAGGGGTGATCCCTTCGGGGAAATAAATTAACGCACTCCATTATACCCGCTTTGGATTGCTCTGAGCCGAAAAGTAAGGATCAGCCACCTTTCCCACCTCCCTTGGAGCTTTGTGCTTTGAAATGTTCATCGCTTCCGCAAGTATTGCATGTCCTCCGCTTTAAGATGGTAGACGGACTCCGTTTACCATCTGTACCCGTGGGATTGAGCCTGCGCCCCTTGCCCTTGCCTGTAGTGTGCCTACACTTTATGTCTTCCTTTGCCTCCTAGAAGTAAACTTCAAAGTCGTAGTCTGTCAATCTAGCCAGATACGTGGCCATGTCTTTGCTATGCAATCCGCGGGTACGTCTACCACCTTTGCCGCGGTCCTTCCCTTTAGGGAAGAAGACGCGACGTGCGACTCGCCTGAGCCTCCTAATAACATATGTCGCCTCCACCTTTTTTTCGGCGTGCTGATAGCCTGGGTCTAGGCATTGTGTTGCTCCATCATCACTGGCGGGTAAGACTGACCAAGCGAAGTTTTCAGCACCGGTAAAGGAAACCGCATTGGTATCCGTGCCGGAGTCGAAGACGTCGTCATCTCGTTGACTGGGGGAGCCCCAGAGGGCGGTCGCGCCGAGTGGTGCGTAGCTGGCCGCTGACGGCCAGCCCGTGTTTTAGCCAGAAGCCTGTTCGTTATTGCTGGCTTCTTGGCCTAGAAGCGTCGTCGTTCAATAGGCTCTCCGTGATTTCCAGATGCTATTCGGCATGGCTGCCGGGGTGTCACTTATTTCGGTGTGGTAGGTGCCGCGTTGCGTCCGCTGAAGATGCTCCTGATGTTTCCTGGGGAACGCTCAGCAAGGTGTGCATGGCTGCGCATTCGCTCCAGGAGTTGGTCGCGCTGTTCTTGGGCGCGGGGCATCTGGTGATTCAGCGGTTGCAGCAGCTGTGCTGCTCGGGAGGTACCAACTCCCAAGGCGCGAAATAAGACCGGAGTCAGGATCTGGCGGTTGGGCATGTTACAGCCCGCGGAATCTGCTTCCAGCCTGGCCATCTCGAATTGGGCCGGTACTCGGTCGATGCGTTCTCCCCTCTCGACCCTGAAGTCGATGAGGGGTGTTCCCGAGGTGAACTGTCGCTCGTGCTCAAGTTTTTCAAACATGGTGCTTAATAGGTACATGAGGTATGTGACTCCATCGGTGCGTCCCCCTGGTAAGGTGACACTATAGCGGATGATGGTGGACGGCGCCCCCATGGCCAGTGTCCTGGCCAAGCCCTCTAGGCCGCGCTGTAAGGAAACGGCCTGTTGGGGTGGAGTTATGCTTCCGCTCGCGACGTGAAGCCATGCGTGTACTTCGCGAACAAAGTCGCGGAAGTGCGCGTTGCCTGCGGGATCCCAGAAAAGGGACCCCGACTGCGTGCTTCATCCAATCCTCCTCCTCCTCCTCCTCCTCCTCCTCCACTAATGTATGCCACGGCAAAACCTAAGCACACCTGGATGGTTCCACATATATCCAACCTAACATCATACATGGCCATGTTGTAGCTGATGCTGTCAGGCTTCGTATCATTGGATATTGTCGCGTCGATAAGGTTGCGACTGGGTGTCTGGTCTGGCGTGGCCGTCAATTTGCGGATGGGTGTCGGTACTTGTGTTCTACGTGGGGTGTGGCCACGCGGTGGGGAGATGGAAATATAGGACTGTAGGTTACCAGTTGCTTCAATAATATTGGTAGTATAGTGGCTGATAGTTGGCGCAATCGGATACTCCTCTGTGCCGCGGTAAATTGTTATGTACATAACGCCTGATGTAAGAGCCAACCACAGAAAGATGTAGCCAGCTCCGCTACCAAGTGAGAAGTAAGGGTTGAGGGCTTGACCATGAGGTAATAAGCTGGAAACCCTGCTCTCAAGATAACGTCGGGGACGTATCGACGTATTCCACAAGTCATCCCTTGATGGCATGTGGGTCGAGAGGTAAGATATAAGCCATGGGATAAGCATCGGGATCTTTGTTATGCGTGGCGTTTGTTTGATGCAATGATCCAGATTGAATCACACTGTCGTGCAACTGGCATATAGGACTGCGCAGTCTCGAGCCGCACCAGCGGCGGATATAGCGTTTCCTCGCTATACAGCACCACCTGAAACCTCGTTTACAGTGCCCCCCCCCTCATTCCGAGACAGCTGACGCAAAATCTCTGCACTGCGCGCGTGTGTGTCTTTGAAGTGGCTAGTGCAATCTCTGAAGCTGTATCTGGCAACCCCGACGGTGCCACATCTCAGAAACCGTGTCTGTGAGTCCCGTGAAACGGAGGGCACAGTCTCTGAAACGATGGGGCCCAGTCTCAACAACGGATGTAGCTGTCTTCGAAGCGTCTGTTCAGTCTCTGAACCGGTTCCCGCCAAGGAGCAACGACTAATAACAACGATATCGATATCCTTTTACTCTGTGTCCCCCTTTCCTTTCATTATTCCTTCTCGTCCTGTCTGTCCTCCGTGTCCTTGTTGTCGTCCTCCTCACTGCTCTTCTTCCCGTCCATGCAATCTCTTCGTAATGGCCGTCGCCGCAAACCCCATGTGATCCATGAGGGGAAACTTAACTCCAACCTCAGCAATGCTGTTGGCCATTCGCACCTGGCTGCTTGCACAGCGTTTGCCAGGACTCCATGTGGGGCCGTTTTCCTCGCCACTCCTCCCCCTCCTCCTCGACCTTCTCGTCATCCTCCTGGCTCTCCTCCTGCTTATGTCATTCCCCACGAAAGGCCCACGAATCAGAACTGTCGGAACACGAACACGGGCGCTGGAATCACGGGCATAAGATCCGAAAGCGAAATACTCAGAACAAGAACGCCATCAACTTCACGACAGACACCCACGGCTCCCGCAACTGCTACCAACGGCTTCTTCAACTGATACCAACGGTGTCCGCAATTGACACCAGACCAACGCTTCACTCTCTCAGTACAGTGGGGGCCCGACCGCAAGAAACTTTCCACAAGAAACCCAACCCTGAGACCCCTGGACGCCCATGGATTTTTGGTGTGGGGACGTCACGCTCCCCATCGCAAAACCATCGAAATCCGAGAAACCCAGGGCACCCTGGAGGCAAGCAAAATGTTTCTCGGCATGGGCCCCCACTGTATTCCGGAGTCTGCAATTGGCCGCAAACGGTTCCGACGCCCTGTGTTCTCCTGCGGCCACGCCTCAACACGTCTCGCGGAAGCATCCTTTCGCAAGCGAGGGTGGCGCCAGTCTGGTCTAGTGCTGATTTCTACCACCAGTTCTGAGGGCGAAGCCCTGGAACATAATCCCGCGCAGCTGCAGAGTCGGGGGGTGGCCGGCCTCCGTTGCCGAGGAGGGCAAGGCAGGAAACTGAACTCCTCAGCGGCGGCCGAGCCGACGCCGCACCGAGTGAAACGGCAAAATCGCACAACACAGTCTCTTCATTCCATCTGCAGCGCAGTGCTAGGGTGGCAGAACCCACCCGCTGACAGAGGTCCAGCGGCAACAGATCGGTCCAGCTACGAACACATCTCCATGACCGCGGCAGGCTTTCCAAGGATGCCCCTGCACGTGAGGCAGGGGTCGGGAGGCACAGGGCCGTGGTCGGCGCGTGAAGGCGAGCAAAACAGGGTGCACCGACAAGGGGGGCACACGAGCAAGCGAACCAGAGTCGGCAGGTGCCGCAGAGTGGAGTGGTGCGCGGGTCGGCAGGCTCTCCGCTCCGACGGGGCACGCGGCGCGCTCGGCACAGGCGATGGGGTGCCGCACGCGAGGGAGGCGGGGCGAGCAGCCGTTCCGCTTGTGAATCCTCTTCCCTGGTGGGGAACATCCAGGATGCCTCGCGCGGCAACTCGAGACCCCAGGTTACGTGGGATCCACGCCCGATGTGCGTCGGGTTCGCGTCGGACTCGCGTCGGATTCGGGTCGGATCTGCGTCGGAACGTCGCCGCGCGCACCTCGTCCCATGTCTGACGGGGCGGACGTGCAGTCTAGGTTGTGCAACCATTGCGCGCCGCGCGAGGTCTCCAGGGATTTTCCCCATAACCACTCCGTTGCGAGGCGCGTTACCTTTGGATATAAGCCTGGGGGGGTCGATCTTCGGGGCCCTCGGCAGGCGGTGGATATGGAGATATCTGCCCCCCCCCCCCGAGGGCCCAAATGTGTCCATATCCACCGCCTGCCGAAGTCCCCGAAGATCGGCCCCTCAAGCAGTGGTTCTGCAGAAATCCCCGCCTCCGGTCCGTGCCATCTCGAGACCAGCCGTTGCCCCGCCCCTCCCGGCCCGCCCGCCCGCCCCCTAGACGAGCTGCGCCGCCTGCGGACGACTGCCGCGATCCAGAGGGCGTCCCGTTGGGCTTTCGAGGTCCCATGGGGGCGCCATGTCCAGATCGCCGACGACATGAATGTTCAGACCCCAGCCGTTTTCTTAGATTTCGGCCTCCTGGGCCAGTGATCGAGACCATCAGAAGGAGGAGGAGGATGAGGAGGAGGAGGAGGAGGAGAAGGAGGAGGAGGGGGAGGAGGAGGAGGAGGAAGAGGAGGAGGAGAAGGAGGAGGAGGAGGAGGAGGAGGAGGAGGACAAGTGAAAACCCAAGAGTCATCAACGATGCTGGAATAAACCCTCCCTCCAAGCTCCCTCTTCATAGGCCCCTACTACGGTTCACTTCCACAGGGAACTGTCTCGCTGGAAGACAAGCGTTTGAAGAGCCTGAAGCATGTCAGAACTTTGTCGGGATTCCAACGCCACAGATCAACCTGACTGTTGCGTCTCGACGAACTTGAATCGTGCCAGAACGCCAATCCTGGGACATCAACACCGCGAATCAACGTTTGCACCCTCAAAATCCTGAACCTTTCCAAAGCACCACTTCGGTACACTGATGATGGGAATCAATGAAACCCTTGCAAACTGTACAAGCAAGTGTGCGCGGTGCCAAGGCGAGAGCCACAGTTTGAAAAGGAACCGCCCTCAATCTGCGAAGCTGTTCCCAACTTTTCAGCTTCAGGGTCATAAGTGGTGAGGGAGTCTCAGGCGAAACGCCCGGATCGCCCTAAAAACTTGCCTCGGGGTGCGACAGGGATAATCTATCTATCCGGAATGGAAGAGGAGGCGGAGGAGGGGGAGGAGGAGGAGGGGAAGGAGGAGGAGGAGGAGGAGGAGGAGGAAAAGGAGGAGGAGGAGGACGAGGAGGAGGTGGATGAGGAGGAGGAAACCATCACAGCTGCGGAGCTCTGGGCGGGGCGGGGCCGCCGCAGGGCCGCGCCGCCGCCGGCGCGCCCCTCACTCGGCAGGGCGCCGGAGGGAAAACGTCCGTGGCTGGGCCAGCCACGGAAGGCGTGCGCGCGCCACCGTCGTGCCCGCTCGGGAGCTTCTGGGTCAGACCTTGGCGTGTATTACGCCGAAAGCATCTATACACCACCACCGTGCCAGGCCAGGGCCATCCTGGGCCCTGGGATGGTCAAAGTGAAGAGGCCGAACGGTCATTCACTGTCCATGGGTGCGTGGCTGAAGTGGAATTCCGCGGTGCGGATTATCGTTGTTGTTGTCGTTGTTGTTGTTGTTGTTGTTGTTGTTGTTGTTGTTGTTGTTGTTGTTGTTGGTTGTTGATGTTGGTTGTTGTTGTTGTTGTTGCTGTTGTTGTTGTTGTTGTTGTTGTTGTTGTTGTTGTTGTTGTTGTTGTTGTTGTTGTTGTTGTTGTTGTTGTTGTTGTTTGTTGTTGTTTGTCGTCGTCCCACCCGCAACCCGCCCCGCGACCCACCCGCGACCCACCCCGCGACCCACCCCGCGACCCACCCGCGACCCACCCGCGACCCACCCGCGACCCACCCCGCGACCCACCCCGCGAGCCACCCCGCGAGCCACCCCGCGACCCACCCCGCGACCCCCCCGCGGCCCACCCCGCGCCGCGACCCACCCGCGACCCACCCGCGACCCACCCGCGACCTACCCCGCGACCCACCCGCGACCCACCCGACCCAAACCACGTTCAAGGTACAAACCACAATTTTCGGCGCCTGCGGCGGGCTTTTTTGCATTCCTTCCAGGTGGAGAGCCCGCGACCCACCCCGTGACCAACTCGCGACCAACCCGCGACCCAAACCACGCTCAGGGTACAAACCGCATTTTTCGGCGCCTGCTGCGGGCATCCTTTGCATTCGTTTCAGGTGGAGAGCCCGCGGCCCACCCGCGACCACGTTCAGGGTACAAACCACATTTTTCGGCGCCTGCGGCGGGCATCCTTTACATTCGTTCCCGGTGGAGAACCCGCGGCCCACCCCCGACCCAAACCACGTTCAGTGTACAAACCAATGTGTTTGGCGCCTGCGGCGGGCTGCTTTTGCATTCCTTCCAGGTGGAGGTGGAGAGCCCGCGACCCACCCGCGACCTAAACCACGTTCACTGAACAAACCAATGCCGCACAAGCGCGGTGGCGGATTTTTGCATGCAGTCTGAGCCCGCAAGGACCTCTTCAAGCCCCGCGCACCCACACCAACCCGTCCAGCAACTCTGCCCTGGCGAGTTGCCTTGATCAGAGAAGGCGGGGAGCATAAAGTGGGACAAAGGATTGCGTTGCAGTTATCTTGGGAAAGGAGGTGGAGGCAGGAGGAGTAAACAGGGGACGAGGAGAACGCGGAAGAAAAAAGGATGTAAGGAGAATGTGGAGAAAGAAAAGGAGGAGGAGCAGGAGGACGAGGAGGGGGAGGAGGGGGAGGATGAGGACGAGGAGGGGGAGGATGATGATGATGATGATGATGATGATGATGATGATGATGATGATGATGATGATGATGATGATGATGATGATGATGATGATGATGATGATGGGCGACAATGGGAGGACGATGATGGAGGCCGATGAGGGGGAGGACGACAATGGGAGGACGATGATGAAAGGACGAGGGGGGGAGAGGGAGGACGAGGAAGAAGAGGAGGAGGAGGACGAGGTGGAGGAGGAGGATGACGATGACGATGACGACGAGGACGAGGAGGAGGAGGAGGAGGAGGAGGAGGAGGAGGAGGAGGAGGAGGAGGAGGAGGAAAGCGCCATCGACAGGGAACGTGGGGGCCACGAGGTCCGCCGGCTCGACGACGCCCGCGTCGCCCGCGCCCGCCCCCTCACTCTTATCCGCAATTGCGGGGTGCTACGCCATCCTGGCCGAGGCCAGGAGGTTCTATACACCATCCTGGGGCCCAGGATGGCCCTGGCCTGGCACGGTGGTGGTGTATAGATGCCTTCGCTGGATGTATCGGCTCCCCGCTGGGCTGTGGGGCCATGTGCACCAAGGTCGGTGGCAGGAGGATCTGCGACCACGCAGGCCAGGGCCAGCGGGGGCCTCCGAACGTCAGTGCAGGCTGAGGCCTGGCCCGACAACGCGCCTGAGCTGGCCTGGCGGTGGTGTCCAGGTGATCTGCCCTTTGCCCCGTATGCGGTCAAGAGCTTTTGCCCAGCGTGCCGCGGGGGCGGCCTCGGCAACACGCTACGCCTTCCAGGTGGATGCAACGCTGCTCCGCTCCGCTGGGCGGTGGGCCTGGAAAAACTCGGGACGTTGACGCTGAGGGACTGGGACGTGGTTAGCGTGTCGCGCAGAGGCGTGGTGGGCCGGAACCGGCGGCGCGACACGCTAAGCAAATGTTCCTGACCACATCTGCACTCCGCCCAGCTCTCACACCCCGGGGTCTTGGGGCTCCCTCGGTCCGCCCGACAGCTTCCTCGCCCAGGACGGGAGCGGAGGTGGCTTGGGCGCGCAGGGCGTGCCAATGTTCCGTGGGGGCGGGCCGCCGCCGCCAGGGCTCGCGGTGCTGGCGTCGGCGTCCTCCCGGAAGCTGCTGTATGCCCGCAGCTTGTCCAGCCAGCCAGGCAGCATGCCCCTGCGGTGGGCGACGCAGAGGCCGACGCCCGCGGCCGTTGCGACGGCCAGGACCAGCATGGCCTTCAAGCCGCCGAGGTCGCCCTCGACTGCGGCGCGCTCCTTCGACGGGATGCTCAGGGCAGTCTGTGTGGTGGTGGTGGTTGTCGCCGTCCGCGTCGTCGTCCGCGTCGTGGTCCGCGTGCTCGTCGTGGTCCTGGTCGTGGTCGTCGCCGTCCGCGTCGTGGTCGTGACGGTGGTGGTCTGGACGGCGCCGAAGAGCAGGCTGTAGAGGGACTGCAGGGCCTCGTCGAACTGCGGCTGGTTGACGACCTGCAGCACGGCGCTCTGGGTGCCCCCCGCGCTGCCCAGCCCGCAGTGGCCACACCAGCCGCCGCAGGTGCCAACGCAGAGCTGGCTGCCCGCGCCGCACGACACGCTGCCGAACGCCTCCGCTCCCACGGCCACTGGGTACGTGGGCTGGAACGCGAAGGGCGTGCCCACCTGGTGAGGCTTCGGGCTGCGCGCCGACGGCCCTCTCCTCCCCGCCGTGCAGCCCCAGCTGGCCACAGCAGGCCCCCCGAGTGGTCCCAGCTGGCCTCGACGGGCCCCCGAATCGTCTGGGGCGGTCTCAGCACCCTGGCGCCGCTCCTGGCGGCGCGCCCCAAGGCTGGGGGTGTTGAAACCGCCCCGGGCAGTTCGGGGGGCCTGTTTAGGCGCCAGCTGGGACCACTCGGAGGTCCTGTTGAGGCCAGCCGGGGCCATCTGGGGGGCTGTCCGTGCGCAACTTGAAACCTTACCATGCCCACCAAATTTACGCTCATGTTACTGCCCGTGTAGCTGCAGTCCTCGGCGACGCCCCACTCGACCATCGTGAGATTTCTCTTGATGTTGATCTGGCCGTTGCTGGTGGCGAACGTCCAGTCGTGGAGGTCGACGGTCACAGCGGAGTGGCCAATCTGAGGGACGCCCTGGATACGAAGAGCCCTCCACTCGGTCTTCAGGGTGCCGAGCATCGACCAGTTATCAATCGGCAGGTTGAGGTAGAAGACCCCCCCTAGCAGCGAGAACACGGGGAACGGGGTCGCGGTGGTGCTGGGCAGAGCAGGCGCCCCCGTGGTTGCGGCCGGCGCCGTGGTCGAAACAGGGCGGCTGCTCGTGTCGTTGACCTCGCTCAGCTGCCAACCTGGAGCGAGAAGAGAAGGCAAAGACAGATTTCTCGGAGGCCCGCGCGGACTTCATGGGATGACGGAGCGCGCCGTGGGGTGGCGCCGGAGGCGCCGACTGGGGGGGCCCAGCGCAGATCCGAGAACTCCGCGCGGGGCTCTGGAAAGTTGTGCTTGTGCAATATTTTCATCTTTTCTTTTCTGCCTCGACCTTCGCCAACCGCCTGCGCCTGGGTCGAGGTGGCGGCCGGCACATCTGGCACGGCCGCCACGGCTCGTGCGCCGACCAGGAGCGCCGCGAGCTGCGCGGCGGAGCGGCCCATCGCGGGGCGCGCTCCCGTGGGGGGCCCGTGTGCGCTGAGGGCCTGGCGACTCTTGCGGCTCCGCGCCCCGCGCCGGATCTCCCGCGACTGGCCTCACAAACAGGTCGATTGTACGAGCGGTCGCCCCGCACTCTGCCTAGCACAGCCTTCCCGCGACTTCGTCGGGACTTATTTGGAAGTCTGTGGACACGTCGCAAGTCATCTGGGTTGCAGTAGGCACGCGGTCCAAAAGGGCCACGAGCCGTCGAAAGATCGGTCCAAACCGTTCACGCTGGCCTCCGCCAAGAGGCCCCCAAGACGCCCCCCAAAGCACCGACGAGGCGTCCCAAGACGGCTTCCAGGAGCAACGATCGGCCCACTCCCTGAGGAAGACTTTCATTTTTAGCACATTCGCCTCTTATGCGTTGACAACGTCCTAGGCGGCCCAAGAAGCCTTCTAGATGCCCCAAGAAAGCCCAAGAGGCCTCCAAGAGGGTTTCCAGACGATCCAGGAGGGCCCCAAAACTGCTCAAAAAAAACCCAAACGGCCCAAGGGGGCCCCAGGACAGCCCCAAAAGGGGACCTATAGGGGAACCCCAACGGAAAACTTGAGCCTGCGACCCCAAAGCACCCCCCAGCTGCCCCCAAAAAGCCCCCAAACGGCCCCGCGGGAGCTCCGATTGGCTCCCCAAAAAACCCCAAGAGGCCCCCAGGGGGCCCCCAACATGTCCCCAAACTGCCCCCCACTCGCCTCCCACGAGACCCCATCTGCCATCTGAGCGGCTGCAGACCCGCAGCCCAAACACTGTGGCGAGATGTGCCGAAGGCCACTCGATGAATATTCTTCTGGTATTTGGACAAATGCCCGCCGATTGTAACCGTGGGTTCTCGCCCGGTCCCCTATGTTTGCACGGCGAACGCTGAACATGTCAGCCGCAGAAATCACTACTGCTGGTGCGGGCGGTGCCGCGCTTGCCAGGTCCCGGGGGAGCTTATCGCGCGCGCACGGTGGACTGTCCAAGAGGGCCCCGACACGCCCCACATCTCGCCCCAAGACGCCCACGACGGCTCCAAAACGTATTTTGACAGATGCCCGCCATCTGTAACTAAACGTGGGTTCTCGTCAAATTTTCCCTGCGCGCACGGCGAACAATGAAAACGAGGTGCCAAGATAACTTCAAAAGGCTCCGCATTATCGCCTCCTGACCCTCGACAGGTTTCCCTCTGCCGAGGGCCATTCGATACTGGACATGTGCCCGCCGATAGTAACCGTGGGTTCGCGCCCAGTCCCCTATGTTTGCACGGCGAACGCTGAACATGTCAGCCGCAGAACTCACTACTGCTGGTGCGGGCGGTGCCGCGCTTGCCGGGTCCCGGGGGGGCTTGTCGCGCGCGCACCGTAAACTGTCCAAGAGGGCCCCGACACGCCCCACATCTCGCCCAAAGACGCCTACGGCGCCTCCAAAACGTATTTTGACATATGCCCGCCATCTGTAACTGAACGTGGGTTCTCGTCAAATTTCCCAGGCGCGCACGGCGAACAATGAAACGAGGTGCCAAGAGAACTTCAAAGGCTCCACACTATCGCCTCCTGACCCTCGACAAGTTTCCCTTTGCCGAGGGCCATTCGATACTGGACATGTGCCCGCCGATTGTAGCCGTGGCTTATCGCTCTTTCCCCTATGTTTGCACGGCGAACGCTGAACATGTCAGCCGCAGAACTCACTACTGCTGGCGCGGGCGGTGCCGCGCTTGCCGGGTCCGGGGGAAACTTGTCGCGCGCGCACGGTAAACTGTCCAAGAGGGCCCCGACACGCCCCACATCTCGCCCCAAAACGCCCACGACGGCTCCAAAACGTATTTGGACATATGCCCGCCATCTGTAACTGAACGTGGGTTCTCGTCAATTTTCCCAGGCGCGCACGGCGAACAATGAAAACGAGGTGCCAAGATAACTTCAAAAGGCTCCACATTATCGCCTCCTGACCCTCGACAGGTTTCCCCCTCCCGAGGGCCATTCGATACTGGACATGTGCCCGCCGATTGTAGCCGTGGCTTATCGCCCGGTCCCCTATGTTTGCACGGCGAACGCTGAACATGTCAGCCGCAGAACTCACTACTGCTGGTGCGGGCGGTGCCGCGCTTGCCGGGTCCCGGGGGAACGTGTCGCGCGCGCACGGTAAACTGTCCAAGAAGGCCCCGACACGCCCCACATCTCGCCCCAAGACGCCCACGACGGCTCCAAAACGTATTTTGACAGATGCCCGCCATCTGTAACTGAACGTGGGTTCTCGTCAATTTTCCCAGGCGCGCACGGCGAACAATGAAAACGAGGTGCCAAGATAACTTCAAAAAGGCTCCACATTATCGCCTCCTGACCCTCGAGGGGTCCCCCTCGACAGCATCGTTGACAGCCCTTGCCAGCCCATTCCCACATCTCTGCGCACACTCTTCCGATTTGGAGGGGGAGGGTCCCCCAGGGACCCCCCCTAAACGCATTAAGGGGAGGCAGAGGGTGCCAAAACAGGTTGAGAGCGCCCCAAGAAAAATTCTGATGGTCCATGAGAGCCACGAATCGCTGAAAGGTCGCTCCAAGACGCTCACGATGGCCTCGAAACGTCCCCGGAGGCCACCAAGACGCTCCGCGAAGCCGCCAAGAGGGCCCCCAAGAGGCCCTCAGGGAATCCAAATCGCCCCTCCCTATTGGAAAACGTACACGTTTCGAACATTCGCTTTGTGGGGTTCCACGAAGTCCACCGCGGCCCCGGAGGCCTTCATGATCGATCGACCCATGAGGGCCCCAGAGGGCCCCAGGAGGTTCCCAAGACGCCCCGAGAAGGCTCCCAAACTGGCCCACAAGCTCCCAAGACGTCCCGGGAGGGCCCAAGGACGGCCCAAAGAAGAGACTCAGAGGGGGAACCCGCGCGAACATGTCCTTCTCTGGGCTCCAAAATGCCCCCAGGTGGCCCGACAAAACCTCCAACAGGTTCCACAGAGAGGCCCAGGACGGCCCCAGAAAGCCTCCGAGAGGGCCCCACGAAGCCCCAGCTATCCCGATGGCAGGAGCGAACAACGTCGAATCGATACATCGGATCGGGACGGATCGACATGTGTCAAACCGGGCCGCATCGGATCGGGATGCGCAACAACGCCGTGCACGCTTCGGGCCACATCGGATCGTCGGAATCGAATCAAAGCAACCTGGCCGAAACCGACGCCGAAGTGGACCGACCAGATCGACGCGGACACCTGAATGACGGGGAGGGGATCCCAGTCGTTAGGGGCTTCATCGCTTCTGCTGTTCCTCGACCCAGCCGTTAGTGTCCTCGACGCATGCAGAATTAGGTCGGGCGTGTCAGGCGGATTTCGGGCGAAAAATTAAACATACTCCAAAAGAGTCAAAACAAAACATACTAAAAAGATCGTCCCCACTATTTTTGGATTATTTTGGAATCTCCCCCCTGTAGAGGGACAGGCCCGACTGAAATGCATACCTATCTGGATATCCCCTGATCTGTGTCACCCCTGCGAGCCTTCGGCTCCCAATGGCCCTAGGAAGCCTCCACGAAGCTCCAAAAGGCCCCCCAGAGGCCCCCATGAAGCGCCCAAAAGGGCACCAAGAAACCTCCAAAAAGGCGCCCAAGAGACCCTCAGGAGCAAGACGCTGCAACCGCCAATCACCAAAGGGGTCGGCCGTGTGGCGCAAGCGCAAGAATTCATGATTTTGCCTCTTGGGAGGCCTCTTGGAGCCCTCCTCCCCTGGGAGCTGCGCCACAGGAGCGGACCAAAGTGCCCCCCCCCCCCCCTCCCGGGGCCCACAAACCTACCAAAACCAATAGAAAATCGAGGATTTCGATCTCTTGGGCCTCTTGGAGGGCCAAGAGGCCGCCAAGACGGCTCAAGATGGGCTCTGTGCGGGCCAAGACGGCCCCGAGACGGTCCAAGACGGCCCCAAGAGGGCCAAAAAAAACTACAATGACGGCCCAAGAGGGCCCCAAGAGCGCCCACAACTGTGCCGCCAGAAGCCAAAATCATTGATTTCCCGTTGGTTTGGTAATATTTTAGCGTTCTCGCCTCTGCGGCCCAAGCAGCTTCCCAAATCGCTCCAAAACAACCCGAGAAGCCCCCAGGAGGGCCCCAATACGGCCCAACAGAACCCCAAGACGGCCCAACGAGGCCCCCAAGACGGTCCAAGAGGCCCCTATGACGGCCCAAGAGGACCCCAAGACGGCCCCAAGGCGGCCGCGAGAGGCCCCCAAGACGGCCTCCGAAGAAGCGAAACGGCGCAAAAGCGCCCCAATACGGCCAAAGACGCCCCCAAGAGGCCCCAAGAGGCCCCCAAGGGGCCCCAAAAAGCCCCCAAGAGGCCTCCAAGATGTCCTCAAGAAGCCTCCCGAAGGCTCCAAAGAAACCCCCCAAATGCCACACAGCGACTGGAGTGCAATGCCATTTTTCCAACCTGGGCGAACTGCGGCGCAGCGCCAGCCAGGTGGAAGTTGGTCACAGCGGCGCCCATGATTAGAGCCGGCGCTGGAAGGAAATATGGGGAGGGAGTGTATGAAAAGGAGGGAGGGGGGAGAGGCCCCAAAGAAGTCCCCAAGAGGCCCAAGGAAGCTCCCAGGAGGCCTCCAGGAGGCCCCCAAAAGGCTCCCAAGAGGCCCCGCGACGACGTGACTGTACTTGCTCCGGACGTGCACCCCGCGAAGCGAGAGGATTCATGATTTTGCCTCTTGGGAGGCCTCTTGGAGCCCTCCTCCCGTGTCTGACTGGAGAAGTTGGACGACACGCTGGCCGCTTGCACTTCCGAGGTCTTCGGCAAGAGAGGGACACCAGTGCTTGCTTCCTGTTTGTGGGGGGTCGCTCGACTTCGGCCTGGCACTGCCCGAGCAAGCCGCGGTATCAAAAGAAGACGGCGCGTGCTCCACATAGAAGATGACGTCGACGATGGCGCTTTTGTTGACGATCTTAAGCCGGGCGCACCTTTGGCGCCGCTAGGCACATATATCGGGAGAAGACTGGTCCGTGGGCCTCACGCCAGTCAACAAAACTCGCAGAACACGTGCATGGATCTGGGTGTACTCTCGGCGGTGGACAAACCTCCCTTTCGTAAAGCACCCTTTCGTGAAATCGGCCTGGGACC